AATTCCTGAGACCCGGAACATCAAGAACAAGAGGTCATAGATTTAAACTAACGAAACATAGCTGCCAGAAAAATACAGTATAAGGAAATTTACTTTCGCAAACAGAGTGGTAGACGGTTGGAACAAGTTAGGTGAGAAGGTGGTGCAGGCCTAAACTGTCAGTAATTTCAAAGTGTTATATGACAAAGAGTTCTGGGAAGACGGGACACCACGAGCATAGCTCTCATCCTGTAGCTGTTGTTGTTAAAGATTCGCTACCTGGAATGTAAAATTTCAAGTAGCACGGCCTATGGTGAGCCCGTAGGCCTTTCCTGTAGCTGCACTTAGGTAATTATTGGGGAAACTTCTTTACCCAAACATTCGCTAATTAGTCTGTTTGGTGTTGAGTTGTTCATTGTGAATGTGAAACTATATCAGCCTACTAAAAGCTATTTTTTGCCCATTACACTGTATCACTTTGGTCACATTAGCATCTTGGCATGTCAAAGATTACCGTCTTCTTCATTGTTCATAGGCTAGTAATTGGGATGCTAATATGTACTAATCATTTGTAATAATATTATTAAGTCAATGCAAATGTTTCCTTCCTTCCCAACCTTAATTTTCCCTGATGTGTTAAGGTTTTGTCTTAACTAAATATTATTTCTGGGCGGAAGCCCCTTTGGCTCCCTGGAGCTATCCAGGCCGATTTGTATATCATTAGACTTTGGCATCAATCAGTGTGAATGGAGTTCTAGGCCTACCAGGGACCATGAGACAGAACCTGGCCCTCTTAGAGAGGCACGAGAAGCAATGGCCTATAGAAATGGACATGGGATTTGGAGCAGTCTATGTCTGCCATGACCGGGCCAGGCACCCAGAAAGGTAAGCACCTCAAAACAAACCCCTATTCTGGTTAAAATGACTAAGATAGACAAACGAGTGGACAGAACTCCTCATGAAAATGAGCAAACGAGCATGACAACGCACGAGCCGCACCGCATATCTGTGCAGCTCCCCCTTCCCCCAGAAGGGGAAAGGAGGACCCCCAGACCCACCGCACCGGCGATCCACCCTGCAGTTCTCGGCTGATGTGATTGTGGCATGATCATGTGGCTCCAGCTCCAGATTCTCTTGTGTTGTGCTGTGCCTTGTGTCCAGTACTGCTCCTTCGGTGGTGTGCGAGCTTGGAGTAATATTCACAGGTATTCAGGCTTCATGTGCTTAGGGGTTCCCTTCCCTGAGTGCCCTGTAAGTACTGCCCTTGGGGCTTGGGGTAATCTTTCACAAGTCACCTTGGGGTCTACCTCTGTTGGTCTTTTGCTGCTCGGTGATAGACTGCCCCGAATGTGTTGGGGGTTTCCTTTCTTGTTTGCCTTGGGATAAATGGTAGTTTTTGCACTGGTAGGGGCACAGGGTAGTTTTCACCTATTACAGCAGCCAGCTCTGTTCCTCCTGGGTATGTTGTCCTCTTGCGGGGTTTTTCTTTTTCATTTTGTTTCTACCTGGTAGAGGGGTCTGCTTTGTGTCCCTTGCCCCCAGTTATATTAGGGTCTTGACCTCCATTGTTCGGTAGTGCCTCCTGCTTGGCCCTCTTGAGTGGACACATCCTGGGGGTTCAGTTTTAGAAGTTTGTTTGGTAGACTTGGGCGCCAGTTAGCACTACCCTGCTTGGGCATATCCTTAGCGATACCAGTCTTGGGGCCCTAGGAAACCCCGTGGGGACGCGCGTGGTCCAGTGGATGCGACCCCTGGGTCCCCTCTCGCCTTATGCGAGTTTGAGGGTTGCTCTGTTCCCTTGTCTCAGGGCGATGCTCATTGTTTTTACCTCCGTCATGCTGCCTGTTGGGTTGGCGACACCTTCGACCCTTAGTCCTGTGAGCATCGTTGCTTGTTTGCGACTCAATTTACCCAATCAACTGATGACATTATTTGGGTGCAGGCGGCTCAAGCATTGCATGCTATCTTGAGATGATTTTGGGGCTTAGCATCCCCGTGGCCCGGTCCTCCACCAGGCCTCTGTTTTGTTACACGTTCCTAGGAAGCAGCCCGGAGCAGCTGCCTAACTCCCAGGTACATATTTACTGCTAGGTGAAGAGGTGCATCAGGGTGAAAGAAACAACCCATTTGTTTCCACCTCAACCTGGGGTCTGACCCGGAACCTCAGGACTACGAATCTGAAGTGCTGTCCTCTCAGCTGTCAGGCCCCTTGGTATAGGCTAGGTATAGGTTGCTACAATGTGCTAGGTTGGTTGCTTCCCCAGATGCCCCAAGGCTGCACCACTATGCTTATAGGGACCCAGACTTGGGGGTGTTGATCGCTTCAGCCTAGGTTCAGTCCGCACCCCCTCGTTCTATCCCTGTTGTGGTTCATTCTATCCCCCTCCTTCACTCTTGCTTCCGGCTTCAAAGTGTCGGAGGGCTGCGGGCGGGGCTGGAGGTTTCTGAGACTCGGGCAGTTTTGGGGAATGCCCCTTCCAAGGTGGCAACAGAGGCAGTCGAGTCCATTTCTCCAGCCGTGGCACCAGGGTCTGACTAGTGGGCCCCTTCTCTTCCTGCTTTTCTGGCCACCCCGGCTTTTTCTTGTGAGGCCAGGGCTTTGGAGAATGACTCTCCCCCGGGGCCTGATGTGGAGGTTCCCGGGGTTGGGGAGGAGCTGACTTGAGGGCCTTGGGCCTCATTGGACCCCACCTGGGTTTTTCAACCCTCAGAACAGGGCCTTATGTTACAAGGAGTGGGGATTTCCTTTCCCCCCCTCTGCGTATGAGTTGGATTTTGGTTCGGCTCCTCCCCAGGTTCGTTTCCGTATCCCTGCCTCTATAGTATGCCTCTATGATGGATACATCTTCCTTCAGGTTTGGGTCTTCGTCTTCATACTGGGTTCGTTATGAGGTTCTGGTGTTGTCCTGGTTTGTGGACTGCCCATTGTTGTCGTTGGATGCTTGGAGTGCTTCCTGTCATACCCGCACGCTTGAGTGGTGCGAGTCGTTGACAGTGGTCCAGGTTTACCTGGGGGGCAAATTTGAGTACCTTAATGTGTGCTTGTTTGCCCCCTGCCCTTCTGCGGGATGTGGGCGCAATTCAGCTTTACGTGTAGGTCCTCTCCGTGTCGGCTGCACTTATGGCTGAGGATTTGCGTGCTCGTGGCTTGTTGGCTTCGGTCTTGCGTTTCTTTTTCCTTCTAGAGCTGTCTTCGGATTGGCTTGCAGAGGACGTAGAGGCGCTTGAGCTGTTCCCGTGTCTGGTACCTTGGTCTCAGCTGCTTGTGCATTGTCTGGGCTGCTGAAGCTGTTTGCGCCCATCTTGTGGTATGCGGTGTCTCGGTTTTATGCTGACCGTCTTGCGTGTCGGCCGGTTGTACTTGCTTCCTCCTTGGAATCTGCTTGGGCCCTGGCTCTTAGGTTTTCTTTCCCCTTTTGTCCCATGCTGTTTGCGGACTCTGTGGTTGAACGGTATCTGCAGGCAGCTTCTTTCAGCTGTCGTCCAATGTCCAACTTGTTGGTTCTCTGGGGGCCTCAGGGGGGTTCCTCCCGGAAAGGTTGTGCCAGGGCTTGGGGTTCTGCTCGTCGGGGTAGGCCACAGGTGCCTGGTTCGGAGCCAGCGCTGCCTTCGGTGTCGTATGTGCCTGGTTGGTGCGGCGATCGCTCTGTGCGCAGGTCAGGTTCTCGTAAGGGGCGTCGGCCCTTTCTCGATTTGTCCCATTGATGGGGCAATGGGGGGTGGGAGGCTTGTTCTGTTCGCTCACATATGGTCTCACGATTTGTGGGCTTTTTGGATCGTTTCCCAAGGCCTGGGGTGGCTTTGGGTGGCCCCTCCTCCTTCCGCAGGTTTGGGACTGACGGGGCAGGCCTCTTCTCTTGCACTGTGTCGGGTCATCTCGGAGTGAGTGTGCTTGGTCATGGTTGAAACAACATCTCTCAGGTGGGTTTCCAGCCTGTTTCCAGTACCGAAACGGGACTGTGTAGACCTGCAATTCATTCTGGACTTGTCCCATCTGAACCCCTGGGTTTCTTGCCCCTCCGTTCGGATGACCACTATGTCCCAGGTACGGCTTCTGTTGGAGCCGGGCTCTTGGATGGTGTCCCAGGACATCAAGGACGTGTATTGGCATGTCCTGATTTATCCGGATTTCAGGGACTGGCTCGGGTTTGTTGTGGGGCATTTCGGTTACCGCTTTCGTTGTCTCCCATTCGGGTTGAACCTGGCTCCTCGCGTGTTCACACGCCTCGCCCGGGTTCGTGGTGGCCCATCTGCATCTTTTTGGTGTTCAGGGTATTGCCCTATCTCGACGACAGTTTGGTATGGGCTCCCAGTCAGTCCACGTGTCTGCACTGGGACCACCTTCCGGGTAAGCCCTCTAGTTTTTGATGTAGCTCCGGGGAGCTGAGGGTCTTCCCCCAGAAAACCAGGTTTGAATGTAATGAAATGCCATTTTCTGGGTGAGAGCTGGAGGCTTCCCATCAAACCCCCCTTCCCCCCTGTTGGCGGTTTTTCGCATGTTTTGACATCCAGCCTCGAACATGAGGGGTGGATTGCCGGCGTGGTGGGTCTGTTGCTCCTCCTTCCTCCTCCCGGGGAGAGGGGAGCTGCACAGACATGCGGCGCGGCTCATATGACGTCATGCTCGTTTTCATTTGGGGAGTTCTGTCCACTCCTTTGTCTATTTTAGTCGTTTTAACCAGAATAGGAGTTTGTTTTGAGGCGCTTACCTTTCTAGGTGCTTGGCCCGGTCAATGGCAGACATAGAATGCTCCAAATCCCATATGCATTTCAATAGGACACTGCTACTCGTGCCTCTTTGAGAGGGGCCAGGTTCTGGCTCATGGTCCTTCGATAGGTCTAGAACTCTGTTCACACTGACCGATGCCAAAGTCTAATGATATACATATCAGCCTAGATAGCTCCGGGAAGCCTCCGGGTCTCACCCAGAAAATGGCTTTTCATTACATTCTACACCGGTTTTTTAAGTTGCTAAACTTATTTTGTGTATTGTGTATAATATGAGGATTTGACTGTAACAGAAGTGGGAGTAGCAGCACAGAGGCAGACCGCGGCAGTGTTCCTCCAGATGCAGCAGACGTGGATAGCAGCAAGATAAACCTCATGACTGAGCCACTTCATATGAGTATTCACTTAGAATACAAGCAGGACAAAGCCCTCTCCTCTGCTTCTGTCACTTGCTCCAACTCCCACAAGGTTCTCAGGTAACTTACATCAGTTCCACCTAGTGAGCTGGCAGTGCCATCATGTATAGAACAATAGTGCGCACAATATTGTCAATAGTAATGTCGTCATGTAGTCAGCCGGTCAGGCGGATCACTATTATTGGTGTCCAGTATAGCCGGTAAAGAATAGACTGCAGTTATTGTTACAGGACAAATTGTATTGTTGTTGTCTTGTGGCAGGAGACGAGACAGTCAGGGTGGGCTGTACAAGGTGGATCGCAACATAGTGAAGGAGAATCTAACGGACAAGCTGAGTGCTGATGATGTCATCATCAGGCCTGGCAACAACACCATCATCCTCTCCACCAAGGTACACACACAGTCCCACCTGCCTCTCTTACTCCTACTCTTTCTTGGTATGTTGCCTTCTGGTCTTCACTGAAGCTAGTTAATTGGCTGTAATAATAGATCTGATTGTGATTGGCTGTAATAAAACAGCTGGCATTGATTGGCTGTAATAAAACAGCTGGCATTGATTGGCTGTAATAAAACAGCTGGCATTGATTGGCTGTAATAAAACAGCTGGCATTGATTGGCTGTAATAAAACAGGTTGTGTTGATTGGCTGTAATAAAACAGGTGGTGTTGATTGGCTGTAATAAAACAGGTGGTGTTGATTGGCTGTGATGGCAGTGCATGGATGTGATTTACACCAAACTGAGACAAGTCCACTTATATTTTGGGGATATATATGTATATACTCCACAAAACAATTGACCGACAATAAATCTTATTTTACAAAAAATACACCTTGGGGTACAATATCACAACTGGGTTTTATTGAGCAACACAGGATTATTTTACACTGAATAAATATGGGGCACTGTTGTTAGAGGATTGTTGAGATTAAGAGAGAGATTTCTCAACAAACATGAACCTTTGGGATACATAGACTATTGGATCCACACAAACTGGGACTTAAGGTCACCATGCTATTCTACACTACCTTAGTGAGCTATAAAGGTAACATGGGTTTTAACCATACACAAAATCCTGACACATTAACACTTTACAAATAGGGACCAGGGTTGATGGGGTATAGACCACGTGTCAGAAATATGAGTGAATAAATCAAAATAACACAAAACACCACCTACACACAGGGTTCTGTAAACTAACTTAGTTTAAAACTGCCTATCAATAACTAACACAGAGAAGGAGCACTGCTATAGAACATATGAGAACAATGCACTTATCGTTATTGTAGACTGTCACACGTCACTCAAGCAATGACCAGCCTCCTCTTCATCCTACCCACAACCCAGTCCAGGAGATCGCTGGCGCATCTGTGTCCAACTGCCCAGTTCCAATAGTGTTCCATTCACACTTGTATTCCCAAATAGTTCATTTGTATGCCTTATAAATTTCCAGGCTGTTTTTCAACATTTAATACTATGGTTTCTATATATTTTCCAGCATTGAATATACTTTTTAAACATGTATTTTATTTGCTGTTTACATTCTTCAGGGGATGACACTTTCGTACTATGACAATGCTCTGCGCATGTGCAGAACTGATTATTGTACTAGCGGGGGATTCCAAATGCAAGAGTTCTAGACTGTTTTTTAACATTTAACACTGCTGTTTCTGTCTCTACTGAGTTATACCCTTCATAAGGGTCTCTCTCTTACAGCAAAAATTGACTTCCAGAACTGAAAGACAAGAGCTATGAGGAGAGATTTGAGGCATTAAATATGCTAAAACTAGAAGATAAAAGAAAAAGAGGTGATATGATCACTGCCTACAAAATAGTAATGGGAATCGATAAAATTAATAGGGAAGAATTCCCGAGACCTGGAATTTCAAGAACAAGAGTATATATTTATATTTTGCCGGTAAATATGTACAGTGGTATCTCCACTTGCGAATTTAATCCATTCCCAGAGATGGGTCGTAACTCTAAACTAATTATCCCATAAGAACTAATGTAAATTGAATTAATCCGTTCCACATCCCCAAAATATTAACTTAAAATAACCAGCGTTAAATGTAATGAAACTCCATTTTCTAGGTGAGTCCCGGAAGCTCCCCGGAGCTATCCAGGCTGAATGGATATGTATAACTTTCTGGCATCAGCCAAAGTACTTGTAGTTCTCGCCTACCGGGGACCACGAGCCAGAACCTGACCCCCTCACAGAGGGGGCCAGAGCGTATCCAGTTGTAGCTCTGAGCGTAACCCTTGAAATCCTATGCTATTTATTTAGATGATACTTAGATGAATCGTTTTCTGCGTTCAGTGATGATGCATCTGATACAAATAGCATAGATGAACAGTGTTAGCAGCTTCCATGGTGGTATTTTCCATAGATATTTTCAAGAATACCTGAATCTCTTCCTGACTGACGGACACTCTTGAGGCAAGCTGAATCTCTTCCTGTGTGGGACCATACAACCTACCTTGAGGTTACCTTGAGGTCCTTCCGGGGCTTAGTGTCCCCGCGGCTCGGTCGTCGACCAGGCCTCCTGGTTGCTGGACTGATCAACCAGGCTGTTAGACGTGGCTGCTCGCAGCCTGGCGTATAAGTCACAGCCTGGTTGATCAGGTATCCTTTGGAGGTGCTTATCCAGTTCTCTCTTGAACACTGTGAGGGGTCGGCCAGTTATGCCACTTATGTGTAGTGGAAGCGTGTTGAACAGTCTCGGGCCTCTGATGTTGATAGAGTTCTCTCTCAGAGTACCTGTTGCACCTCTGCTTTTCAACGGGGGTATTCTGCACATCCTGCCATGCCTCCTGGTCAAAGTGATGTTTTCAAGACTACCTTACAAATTGATCTTTTCCTATAATCTTTTCAATACTACCTTTTGCTTTACAAGCTTGGTTACATACAACCTACAAGTACTAAAGCCAAGGGTGTACGTGAGTGCGTTATTTGCCATCACACAGAATGAAGAAACAGGAAGCGAAAATTTATCTGTACCTGGTGCACTGAGAGCGAAGTCGCGCTGTGTACCTTGGGCTACTTCATTGATTATTACTCACTTCCGAAGTACTGAGTGTAATACAGTGTGTTACTGTGTAAATAGTATGTGAAACTGTACATATTGTAATTTTAGTGATTTTTTAACAGGTAATATTGCGACAATAAACATTTATTGTGGACACATTACTGACACATGTATCACAGTTCCATGGAACATTATGAACATTCTACTGTACACATATTGTAAAGGAAACAAATATGCATCATATACGATAAAAAAACAAATAAAACCGCATTGGAAATCCATAAAACAAATAATTGAAAATATATTTGTGGCAACACCTGGTGCTTGAATGGCCCGCGCGACTGTGTCTGGGCGAGTCACACACAGGTGACCAGGCTCTGATGACGTCACAGCGCACCTTGTCCACGTCCCTACAGCCAAAGTAAGTGGAATTTGGTACTTATTTTTACATAGACATGATCAGGGAAGGGAATTTATCATTTTACGAAGAAAAAAAAATTTGGGGGGAACACTTCATTTCATGCGCATCGGGGGAATTTCTCAATACACTCCGCGTAGCACGGTGGTTAAGGGTTAATGAGCTTGGCTATTTTTCAGCAACAATTATTTGTTCAAGCAATGAACTTTGCTATGGCATCTATTTTTTATATCAAATTACAAACTAGGTAAATAATAAAATGTTTTAGTTTCTTAAAATTTTTGGCACTGCATTCTTGACATGATGCTACTGAGTCAGAACGTTTTGTTTTCTGATATTGAACAAAAGTTCTTAGCCAGAATGGTGTTTATCTAAAAATGTATGTTTTAACAGGTCACGAAGAAAGGTCGTTACATTGCATGTCAAGTGGTACTAGCCCTGGACAAGGTGGAATTCATCTGCAGCAAGACAAATGTTAGTGGTCCTCCTCTGTTCCTGGAGGTCGTGAGCGAGTGTCCACGCATATTTTTGGGACGTCGTGATCGGGATCTCTTAGCTGGCATGCATCAGCCGATGGTGCTCACAGTGCACAGTGGCAGTTGGCACATTGTGAAGGTAAAAGAAATAGTATCTTCTGCTATTTTGATACTTTTACTTTAGCTATAGCATTTCTTGAATCAAGAGTGTGCAATATTTATTATCATGAAAATAATGTTTAGTTGGACTTTATCTCACTGCTGTACTAAAGATATGAGGTCTTCTTGCAAAGATAATATTGTACTAGATTCAAAACAATAGTGTTGAGGTTAGTACAGTAATGATGTTTTCCCAATAATGTTTTTTAGAAATTTTTCCACATCACAACAAAAATGGTTCTAAGGGAGCCCCTTGTGGCTCCCTAAAGATATCTCCGTAAAGATATCTCCCTAAAGATATCTCCCTAAAGATATCTCTCCCTAAAGAAGATGGCTCCCAATTACTAGGTCACATCTGTCTGGGCTGCTGGGTATCAGAGCCAGAACCTGGCTTTGTCACAGAGGCACAGCAGGGTGATGACATTTCACAATCCCACTGGGAAACCATCCAGAAAGTCAGTGAACCTATACAGAGCACTTCTAGGTTTAAAGAGACTGAAGTCTCAAAACGTGCCAAACAAACTCCCCCAACAATGTAAATAAACAATTGAATCTCTCAAAACAAGCACAAGCTCATTAGCACTGGTAGTGAAATGGTACATAAAAACAAGGCAACAAAATCATTAGTGGAAGGGAGAGTAAAGAGCATAGGGAAAGGAAACATGTTCCTGAAAATTGCATATACCAACATAGATGGAGTTAGATAAAAAACATTGGAGTTGTAAGATATAATTCAGCTTAAGGTCCTAGATATTGTCGCATTATCAGAGACGAAACTTGAAGGAAATATTTTAAATGAAGTCGTATTCCCGATGGGCTACTCAGTTTGGAGACGTGACAGGACAACTAGGAAGAGAGGGGGAGTGGCTGTGCTGGTGAAAGAACACCTGAAGGTAAGAGAATTATTTAAAAATCCTCGAAGTTGAGATAATGGCATTGCAGGTCTGGAATCAGGATGATAAACTGATAATTTTAAATGCCTACAGCCCACCAGCAAGCAACACATGGACAAAGGAAGAACTGGATGACAAACGAGAGGGCCTCATAACGATCATGAGAGAAGTTATAGTACAAGCAGATAAAGATAAATCACGACTGTTGATACTGGGGGAATTCAACTTTAAAACAATAGACTGGTAGGCCTATAAAGCAAGAACGGAGCACTTTTGGGCATGCAGATTTGTAAACTCCATTCTGGAGACATTCTTGTATCAACACGTCAAGCAGGCCACAAGAATGATGGAAGGAGATGTACCATCAGTACTTGATCTAGTATTCACCAAGAAAGAAGAAGAGATATTTGACATCCAGTACCTTCCTCCCTTGGGAAAGAGTGATCATGTCATGTTAGACATTAAATATCTTTCAAGATGTCATCTAGACGAAATTGAAGACATTGAAACAGTTGTTAAACTCGATTTCAAGAGAGGACACTATGGGGAACTTTGAAAAAATTTAAATGAGTGTAATTGGACAGACGTGTTGCTAGGCAGGGAAGTAAATGAGATGTATGCCAAATTTTGCAAAATATACGAGGAAGGCACACAAACATTGATACCTAAACAGAGATGCAGGACCAGAAAACAGAATTGGTTCAACAGAAATTGCGAGAGGGCCAGAGATCAAAAGACACATAATTGGAATCAATATAGGAAGAAGCCAAACCCCCAAACATACCAGCGATACAAAAATGCGAGAAACAACTACACAGCAGTAAGGAGAGAGGCAGAAAGAAATTTTCAAAAAAGGATAGCGGACAAATGTAAAACAGAACCAAGCCTATTCTACAAATTTATAAACAACAAATTGCAGGTAAAGGATAATATCCAGAAGTTGAAAATGGGAAACAGATTCATGGAAAATGAAAAGGAAATGTGTGAAACATTAAATGAAAAGTTCCAAAGTGTGTTTGTACAAAATGAAATCTTCAGAGAACTGGACACAATAAGAATTCCAGAGAACAACATAGAGTGTATAGAGGTGTCTAGAGATGAAGTGGAAAATATTCTAAAGGAGCTAAGTAAGAACAAACCAAGAAACTTGCCCAGATGGAGTTTCATCATAGGTTCTGATAGAGTGCACCTGAGCTCAGCATTCCACTTCACCTGATCTTTCAGGCATCCCTGTGTACAGGAGTCATAGCCGACATGTGGAAAAAGGCTAACATAATTCCAATCTACAAAAGTGGTGGCAGGGAAGACCCTCTCAATTATAGACTTGTATCATTGACAAGTGTAATTGTCAAAATATTGGAAAAAATAATTAAAACTAAATGGGTACAACACCTAGAGAAAAACGATATAATATCAGACAGTATGGTTTTCGATCTGGAAGATCCTTTACTCAGTTTCTATGATCGAGCCACAGAGATTTTACAGGAAAGAGATGGTTGGGTTGACTGCATCTATCTGGACCTGAAAAAGGATTTTAACAGAGTTCCCCATAAGAGGTTGTTCTGGAAACTGGAACATATTGGAGGGGTGACAGGTAAGCTTCTAACATGGATGAAAAACTTCCTAACTAATAGAAAGATGAGGGACATCCGGTACATTGCCGTAATCAGAGGCAATGTACCGGATTGGATGAATGTCACAAGTGGAGTTCCATAGGGTTCAGTTCTTGCACTGGTAATGTTTATTGCCTATATAAATGATCTACCAGTTGGAATACAGAATTATATGAACATGTTTGCTGATGATGCTAAGATAATAGGAAGGATAAGAAACTTAGATGATTGTCATGCCCTTCAAGAAGACCTGGACAAAATTAGTATACAGAGCACCACTTGGCAAATGGAATTTAATGTGAATAAATGCCATGTTATGGAATGTGGAATAGGAGAACATAGACCCCACAGTATCCACTCAATTTAACGGCCTCTTTTATACCGATCTGCCGGTAATAACGACCGGTTTGGGAGACCGGTATTTAGAGCCTCATAACAGTCTGGGGGTCGATATTACCGAAGGTCGGTAATGGGTTTGTCTTGGCATCATAGGGTCCTCACATGGCAAGCAGCCCCCCTACCCCTTTCATCCCCTCCCTCACCCTCACTGAACCTCTCCCCCACACCCTCACTGAACCTCCCCCCCCCCCCCCCCAAGACCCTTCTGGGAAATGGCTCAGTAGTCTGCCAGCCAGCCAGAGACAGCCTGGAGAATCTCCATCTAATACAATAAAGCATTCATGAAACAAGTATTTTATAACTTTTTACTATCCTAATAATATTACTAAACAAAATCTGTAAGTAAAAATATATATGATGTACATCCAGAATTTAATTAAGAAACATCTGGTTAACTGGGGTCAAGTACGATGCCATCCCTCAGATGGGTTTCCCGTCTGTTCCCAGTACCGAAACAAGACTGTGCGGACCTGCGGTTCATTCTGGACTTGTCACGTCTGAACCTGAGTTCATTGCCCTCCTTTCAGATGACTACGCTGTCCAAGGTTCGACTTCTGTTGGAGCCCGGCGCTTAGATGGTGTCCCTAGACCTCTTGGATGCTTATTGGCACGTCCCAATTCATCCGGGGTTCAGGGACTGGTTCGGGTTTGTTGTGGGATGCCAAGGTTACTGCTTTCGTTGTCTCCCGTTCGGGTTGAACCTGGCACCTTGTGTGTTCACATGCCTTACCCGGGTCGTTGTGGCTCATCTGCGTCTCATAGGTGTTCAGGTGTTGGCCTACCTCAACGACTGGCTGGTTTGGGCTCCCAGCCGGTCCAGTTATCTGCTAGCCAGGGATTTGGTTCTTTCCCAGTTCGCCGGGTTCGGTTTCTTGGTGAACTGGAGGAAGTCCCATTTGGTTCCCTCCCAGGTTCAGACATGGCTGGGTCTTGTGTGGAACTCTCGGACTGCTTCCTTGCCTCTACCTCCGGGGTCTCTCCTGCGGCTGCGGTGCTGCTTGCGCTAGTTTCTGGGGTCTCCCGGGTCACCCAGTGGTTGCTCGAGGGTCTGTGTGGGAGCCTGAACTTCGCAATGATGGTCTACTCGCCGAGTCGGGTTTGGCTTCGTTGGCTTTTCTGGTTCCTTCGGGGACGCCTCTTCCGCCTATCTCGCGATCGCTGGGTTTGGACCCTAGGGGGGCCTTGTGTCTGCTGCTGCATCGCCGGTTTCCTCTATGGGTTTTTCGGGGTTCAGTGCCTTGGTACCTACCCGAGCCCTCGCTCGATGTGTTCACAGATGCGTCGTTTCTTGGCTGGGGTTTTGTGACCGGAACTTACCAGGCCAGCCAGGGACGGTGGGGTCCGTCCTTCCGTCGAAAACACAGTATGGTGTGAGAGTTCGCAGCAGTGTGGTTTGCTGTTCGGAGGGTTCGGGTCGCTGCAGATCGACAATCCGGCTCCATTCGGACTGCTCCCCGGTGGTTCATTGTCTGAACCAGGGAGATTCGATGCGGTCCTTGGCTCTTTGGCGCTGATCGCTTCGGGTGACTCGTTTGCTGAATTCTCGGGATTTGCTCTCCTGGCAGTTCACGTACGGGGCGTGTCCAATGTCTTGGTAGACGGCCTGTCCCGTTTTGTTCCCCTCTCCACGGAATGGACGGTCAACGCTGACTCCTTCAGTTGGCTTTGCCGGACATTCGGTCGCCCCGAGGTGGACCTCTTTGTGTTGGCGTGGTCGCGGCGCCTTCCCCTGTATGTAGCTCTTTTCCTTGACTACAAGGCCGTCGGGGACGATGCCTTTCAGCAGGACTGGCCGAGGTGGGGGTTCCTGTACCTTTTTCCCTGGGTTCAGCTGTTGCTCCAGGAACTGACTCGCTTGGAGACTCACCAGGGAAGAGTTGTCTTCTTGGTTCTGTGGTGGCCGGCCCAGCCGTGGTTTCAGGCGCTGCTTGCTTGGTGTCCGAACCTGGAGGTTTTTCTGCGGCTCTACCTTTTCCAGCAGATCGGACCAGAATATCATGTGGCTGGTTCAATCTTCTCCTCGAGTTTTCGTGTGTGGTATTTTTAACTCAAGTTTATCATCATCTCTATGGTGA